AAGTCTCTGAGGTCTCAGAACAGGTTGGCAGTTTCTTTTTCTACTTAAACTTTCAAGGGAAATGAAAAGTAAGTGAGAATATTTTCCTGTGTTATTTGTGTGTGTGTGGAGCACGGGAGAACTTTTAACAAAATATCAGAGAGTATAGAAATCTTTTCTTTTTTTAATGTAGGACTTTGTCTAAGAAATCTGTTCCTGTGATATTTAATCTATCTCTTATATCTGAGTTTCTAAGCAGAATATAAATGAATTTATTAATTATCTCTTTGATATTTTGTTTGCAATTAGAATACACTTCTACAAATATATAGTGAGAGTTAGGGTTTAATTAGGGCTTTGGGGTCCAGACAGCTTTTCTACCCTTTATTAAAAGAGAAAAATTATGTTCTCGCAACATAACCAGTAACCAGAAGTAATTTAATTTCAAAGATACATTAATAAAGCAAGGTAAAAAAAAAAAAAAAAAAAAAAAAAAGCAACTATGTAGAAATAGTTCTACCAGACTTTAATCTCCATATTGATGGATTCCCATCACCTAAGTCAGAGTCTTGCCTGTGTCATTAATTCTTATGCCATCAAGTACTGTTGAATAAATGGGTAATTTTTTTTTTTTTTCAATGTAGCATTCTCACTAAATTTTAACTAGGGAGAGTTACTCTTCTTTTTCTACCCATGGTTTCTCACCAGGCTTGTGTAGGATGGTTATGTCATTTCACCATGAATACGTGTCTAGACAAGAACCTTTGGAGGTGTGAATTCTGCTAAAATTAGAGATACACTGACAAAAAAACAAAAACAAAAAAACCCCTGCACTCCCTTTCTCCCCCAACAATCCCTCCCCGAGGGAAGAAGGGAGGGGGTTGATCCCCTCGCAGGAACAATGCTGGGTGAAGCTGTAGCTTCCTGGTGAAGCTGCCCCGATGGCCATGCTTGTAATGTCTGGCCTCCCCTCAGCTCGCTTCTGATCATTAATATTGACTAGCTAATGATGAAGATGACACAAGGGCTGACCATCACTAAAGTATCTGTTTGCTCAAGTGTCCTTCCACTCAGTGACAGGGATACACTTTTCTGTCTTTCTTTTTGTTCCCGTTAAATTAATTAAGCAAGGGGGCCATTAGACTGAGGTAGCTTTAATAACCTAAGTTAGTAAAGCCTCAAGGTTAAGAAGTTAAACCCTAAGGACAACTAATAGCACACAGCCAACTAGGCTTTCCCAAAAAGGCATTCACTTAATCCAGTCAACAGAGCCAAATAACAGTACAGCGATTGAAATTTCTTTTGAGAGCCAAATTTTTTAAACTTAAACTTCTTCTAACACCACTCCTTCAAAATAGACTCGCCCAGGCCGTGGCATTTTGTGGAAGAGCCACACTCCAGGGGCCAAAGAGCCGCATGTGGCTCGAGAGCTGAAATTTGCCAACCACGGGCTTAAGCTACAGCCCATCCAATGATTCCCTTGCTTTACTTCTGCCTCTTCTCTGTAAGTCCTTCCCCTCTCTCCTGCTGGTGGAACTCTCCTAACCGCATTTAGCTTGTCTTTAGCTTGTCACTGCCCAATTAGATTGCATTTTTGCTTGAATAAATATACTCCTAATTTTTAATAGGTCTCAGTTTATCTTTGAACACTCCCATTTAATCAGCTGCACTGAATAGTAAAAGTTTCTTTTGTTCATTAAATTAAAACACTTTTCACTGCAATTCTTTTAACATGATTGACTCCTAATTGGATCTCTACTTCCTCTCTGGCGGCCAGTGTTTTCACTGACACACACCTTTCTCTCAGAGCTCTCCTCTCACTGCTCTTGCGGTGATGAGCAGGACAATGCAGTACAATAAGAGGTCAAGAGACTATTGCTAACTGACTTGTGTAGGTTTTCATGGAATCAGTCTATTCTCAAGTATTTTTCAATGAAAAATATACTATTTCCAAGCTTGCTTTCCTTTCCTTTCCTTTTTTTCTTTTTAAATTTTCTCCTTCACTATCACCTACCTAGATGGCCAGCGCCAGATAGGTCCACGTTGAACGCAGATGAAAAGGAAGAATGTTCACTCCCTGCTCCTTTTGTGCCTCGGATCACAATGGGGAGAATCTCGCTGCAGAAAGAAAGGGTGGGAAATATATTTCTAATTCTCAGGAAGAGGGACCGGTAATTAAAAATTTTCCTTTTATGATACTGTCTTTGTTCTCTTCTCCAAAGGAAAGAGCATCCCCTTTATCACTTTAAACAGGGCAAACTAGTATTCTAACTCTCCTCCCCAAGTTAATTAACATGTAAATACTTGTCAGTAAAAGGTAACACTTACATAATTAGCATATAAATAGGCCGGGGACAATATTCTGCCATAAAGGAAGACAGCTTGGAAGAGTTTACCAAATGTATTTGGGAAGAAAAAGATAAAATAAAGCCTTCATCATTTCCATGCAAGTAGTTATGAAAGAGAATGACTGCTGAAGCCGGGGGTAGAGGGAGAAGAATGAACCTGCCTGGAGAGGCTGGAGTGAAGTTTACATACACAACTTGGTTTTTACATACATGTTTAGTCGAGAAGTGATGACAGAAGGTAATTGGTTATGTCCGGAAAACACATCATCTTTGTTCTATTTCAATGGGAACCATCCACTAAGGAAACGGAAAGCTGTAGATGGGAGAAGAATTGAAGGGCCAGTTTTTCCATATTGGGTGTAAGGATGAGTACACGCACAAAATAGTGTATGCAGGGATCTCTTCTACTCAGCCCTGATTTTGTCTTTCAAATGAGGTAATTGTGCACCTAATGATCCTTTGTCACAAACCATTACCTGATTGGCATATGCCAGGTGAGCTTTTGAGAGTCAGGAAGACAAAGCCACTTTTGGTTGGCATCCAGGGCACTCTATATTGAAAAAATAATAATATTTATAATATTATATTTGTAACATTCTTATTATGTCATATTTCCATGTGTAAATGGGATGTTCACTAGCCCAAGAGGGGGGGGGGGAAATCTCACTGCACTGGCAAAGCTACTAGTTATTTTATAATTATTACTGATGCTACAACATATTCTAGTTATGGGGAAAAACACAGGATTTGTCATCAGAAAACCTGGGTTAATTTTTCATGTAGCTTTCGATGTAAGAAATGTCCAAACCTGTAGATAATGTTTTCGTTTATTTGAGCCAAAGCAATGACAACTGCCGGGAAGCAAAATCTCAAAAGAATGAGGAAATGCTCCAGAAAATGGCAGTCTTACTATGGTAGGCAGTTGGACAGAAATGATCAGATCAAGAACACTGGACCAAGTATAGAAGGTCACCATAGCAGAAAATCTTGGGGGCAGGGAGGGTGTTCAGCAATGGGCAACACTGGGAAAGCAAAAAATCTCACCCCCAGGGTAACCTTTCCTCCCCTAGCATATGGCTAGTTATGTGGTTTAGATGCCCTGACCTTTCATATTGCTGGTCCTGTGGTTCAGACCCTCCCCTGACCTTCCCTTTCCTGGCACGTCCCGTGGCAGACCCCCTTAGAGGAGGTTTTTTCCTTCCCTGCCAGGCCTGTTCCCTTTACCCTTTCTTTCCTAACTCCAAGGACCCCTTCTGTTGCCTCTTTAATTTATTTCCTGAGCCAATTCCTTCTACAGCTCACTTCAACCTCTAAGACTTTCTAAGCATACTTTCTCTTATAGTTTGAGCCTTGGCTCTGAATTCTTTCTTAGCCAGAACTCAAGTATTGAGGTTGATGAACCAAGGTCTGGTCTGAATCCACCGGTCTAAAACCTGGCGCCCTTTCAAGGCTGCTAACGTTGCTTCTTATTTCCTACATCAGATTCAAAGGGACGGGTGTATGAGGATTGCATGAAACCTATCAGGTGAATTCCAGAGCCTACTTCCCTAATCACTGAGTGATATGGTTTTGTATCACTTCAAGGTAAGAACATTCTAGAAAAATAATGACATTGCTTAGGTCTCACAGAAAAGCAAAAGTTTCAGTGTTAGAAAACCACTCTGCCAATGGATCATATCAGTGCATCTGCAACTATGCAAACTGTTTCCTGGACAATTTAAGATGATGTTGGGACAAAGGAGTACTGGGCTGACCTTTCTTATAATGACCTTGCTTCTTCCTAAAGAGCTGGAATGGGATAAACCACTTAGTCTAGTTTTGTGGGAAGTTAATTCCCTGAAAGGAGTAGACAGAGATGAGCTCGTTGATGGAAAACACATTCATGCATCAGTCAATTCCAGGTGACAACCCACAGCCCACATGCTCCCTGACAACCTCCCTGAGTTTGTTTCTTGTAGGAAGGTTTCAATACCTTATATCAGGCTCTGCTTTTGCAAGCGATGTATAGCACCATTTGAGACTGTCATTCTTACTGACGTGTAAGTAAAGTGAAGAGGTTGTCACGGAATTTTAAAAAATAGTAATCTAATCCAAAATAAAAAAATATTCATAGCCTGGCCAGCGTGGCTCAGTGGTTGAGCATTGACCTATGAACCTGGGGGGTCACACTTTGATTCCTGTGGAGCGTGCAGGAGGCAGTAGATCAATGATTCTCTCTCATCATCATTGATGTTTCTATCTCTCTCTCCCTTTCCCTTCCTCTCTGGATTCAATTTTTAAAATGTTTTTTAAAATATTCATAATTCTGGCTTCCAGAAACCAGGGATTTTGAAATAGAGGTGGTGGGTGTGAGGTGGGGGAGTAGGGCTTTCCTTTGATGCTATAAAAACTTCAGTGTGCATGTATGTGCACTGTACACTCCACTTACATGCACATTTAAGACCCACCAATGCTTACTACACTATTCTCTACCTACCTGTCTGCCTATAAAACTTGTGATCAAATGACCTTTGGATATATTTTCCCCTGAATTTGGTCATAGCTATTAAATATTTGAAAATTTTTAGGGCCATTTTAAAATCACATTAATGAAACCTGTAGATTTGGGGGAGGGGACTTAAATGTGAAATATAACAAAAATAGGAAAATTTAGTGACAACTGAAAGTACTAACTTTTCTGGATAGTAATTTTACATACCAGGACATCACTGTATCTAATTAAGTTGAGCTATATTCAATAATCTCTGTGCAACTGGATAGATTCACAAAATAATAGGATTTGTTTAAGGCAAAAATAGAGGAGCTTATTAATACATATTAGATATCCTAAATGCATTAACAGGAAAAAAGACAGATTAATACAGCCCATTTGAAGACAACAAAGAAAATGACAGCCAGGACCGGTTTGGCTCAGTGGATAGAGCGTCGGCCTGCGGACTGAACGGTCCCGGGTTCGATTCCGGTCAAGGGCATGTACCTTGGTTGCGGGCACATCCCCAGTGGGGGGTGTGCAAAAGGTAGCTGGTCGATGTTTCTTTCTCATCAACGTTTCTAACTCTCTGTCCCTCTCAATTTCTCTCTATGTAAAATCAATAAAATATATATTTTTTTAAAATGACATATTTTGAAGGGGTAAATATATAGTCTCTCTGAAGAAACTTAGTTTGACATTTACAAATGTTGTTGCCCACTCATTTTCATCACTAACTTATCTGAAAATAGTTAGAATTGAGAGAGAGAGAGAGACAGAGAGAGAGAGAGAGAGAGAGAGAGAGAGAGAGAGAGAGAGAGATCAATGTGAAAACTCTCATTCGAAAACTTATTTTTATATGATCAGTGGTCCCAGCTAGTCCAAGTTTGGTCTGGGGAAGCTAGGACAGTACCTCAGAAGGTCACCATGGCCCTGAACACATTGTTTGGCTTCTCAGATAGGGAACTTTCAAGGAAACTCTGAATGCATTGTCATGCTTGAAGTAGATATGAAGAGGCTAAGCTGAGAATCCAATATGGGAAATTAGTTGCCATTAACAGATTGCTTCAGGCAGTTCATTTCTCATCAGACAAGCTGTGGGGGCCTCCTGCTGTGGACAGTGAACATTAGCTTACTAAATACTTCAGCTCATCACAAGCTACATTACTCATGGATAGGCCTGAATTGTGGTGAGGGAAGAGGGGGAAGAAGAAACAGATTAAAAACATAACCACCGGCATCAATCTGGGAAGAGATTGATGCTCTGGTCTGTTAGATAAAGACAATAAAAATTATTGTTCATTCACACGGACACATATTCACAATGAATTGTTAAGAGAAAAATAACCTAGTTTACAAAACTATTTTTATAGGATAGTATTTTGGGTTAAAAAAACATGTGTGTTTAATCTGGAAGAACAAACAGCAAAATCTTTACAAGGATAACTTTCTGTAATTGTTTTATCTTTCTGTATTTTCAGTAATATTACAATTCAATTATTATATTTTATAAGAAATATTTGTTATATATAAAATAAAAAATAATAGACATGAAACAAAAGGTTATGCCTAGTTTTTCTCCTTTTGAAATGTTTTATTGCCTTTTGAGGAATATTCATCTTGAGAGCCTTCCAAATACATGAAGGGAAAAATCTCAGATTGATTATGAATAAATTGTGAATAGAAATTACCACTTATCTCGGGGCCTGTGCTGTTCTAGCAGCTCTAGAATTGTACTGACTAGGGCAGGGCAGCCTGTCACTGGCCTTTCTCCATCCTCCAAGTCTGCAGAGACTGTCTTCTGTTCTTATGAAACAATTGCATGCTCCACAATAGTGCAATCTATATACCTAGAAGTTTGCATTGTGTATGAGAAAAACAATGGATTTTGGAGTAGAAAGCTCTGGTTTTGGATCACAGTTCTGGTCAATAAACAATAGCTAAGTGACCTTAAATAAACAACCTAATAATCTCTGTGTTTTGGATCCTTTTAAAAATTAAAATATAGTAATATACAATATCATACTGGTTTCATTTATTCATTATTAATATACCTAATGAAGTGATTACCATACAAAGTTATTATTTTATTGACTATATGCCACATGTTGGGCATTACGTCTCCATGACATTGATTTACAACTGGAAATTTGTACATCTGATTCCCCATCACCTGTTCTGCTCTCATCCCCCAGCCCCTTTCCCTCTGGCAACCATAAATTAGTTCTCTATGTCTATGAGACTATTTTAATTTTGTATGGTATGTTTGTTTTGCTTTTTAAACTCTAAATAAAAGTGAAATCACGTGATATTTGTCTTTGTCTGAATTATTTCATTTAGCATAATAACCTGTAGGTCCATCCATATTGTCACAAATGGTAAGACTTCGTTCTTTTTTATGGCAGAGTAATATTCCATTGTAGGTTATATATATCTTTCTTCATTCATCTATCAGGGGACACTTAGGTTGCTTTGCTGTCTTGGCTATTGTAAATAAAATGGGGCAATAAACATAGAAGTGCTTGTATCTTTTTAAATTACTGTTTTCATTTTATTTGGATATTGAGAAATGGTGTTACTGGGTCATATGAGTCAGATTTAATTCTTTTAGGAACCTCCACACTCTTTTCCATAGTGGCTGTGCCAATTTACAAGAGTTCCTTTTGTCCGTATCCCTGATCTAAGAGGAAAATCTTTCAGCTTTTCACCATTGAATATGATATTAGCTGTGCTAGTCATACCATATTGAGTAGTTTCCTCTATACCCACTTTGTTGAGTTTTTGTCATAAATGAATGTCAAATGCTGTCCAATGTTATTTTTGCATCTAATAGGTGATTTATGGTTTTTATCCATCATTTTGTGGTGTATCATGTGATTGGTTTTTGGATACAGAACCATATTGGAGTTTCAGGTTATTTGTAAAAAGAAACCTACCTCAAACAATGCTTTGAGGATTAAATTAGATAATTAATATAATGCCCCAAAGGGAGATAATCTCTCAGTTTCAGTTATCCTTATTTTCCCACTTTTTCATGTAAAGTTGAAAAGGGGTAACAATAGTAGAGCTTAAAATAGTATAGGCTATAGACAGTTTGCAACTCCCATACCTAGCAACATAGAGGTATGGGTAGGTGTTTCTTTAAAAGTGCAGGTGGACTGCCTTGGATTGCAAAATCCATTTCTGCAAGATGCTAAACCCTGCACACTGAGAAGAAGTCTTCCTAGAGGTACAAACTCCTTTGATAGGAAACAGAGAGCCCAGCTTTGCTACCTGACCCATCAGCCACATAATCAGAATAAATGTTGCGAGGATTTCAATGCATTCTCTCCTCTCTACAATGGAGGTGTTGTCTGCTTTGTCTTAATGAGTTGTTATAAGACAAAAATTATTTATAAAGTAAAAAAATAAAACCTAATTATTTTTTAATAGGACCCATTTCCAAGTGGCAGAAATCCCAATTAGAAAAAGCAAGAAGCCGAAACCGGTTTGGCTCAGTAGATAGAGCGTCGGCCTGCGGACTAAAAGGTCCCAGGTTTGATTCCGGTCAAGGGCATTACCTTGGTTGCAGGCACATCCCCAGTGGGGAGTGTGCAGGAGGCAGCTGATCAATGATTCTCTCTCACTGATGTTTCTAACTCTCTATCCCTCTCTCTTCCTCTCTATTAAAAAAAAATCAATAAAATATATATATTAAAAAAGAAGAAGAAGAAGAAGAAGAAGAAGACAAAGAAGAAGAAGAAGAAGAAGAAGAAGAAGAAGAAGAAGAAGAAGAAGAAGAAGAAGAAGAAGAAGAAGAAGAAGAAGAAGAAGAAGAAGAAGAGGAGGAATCTCTTATAAAATCAAGTTAAAAAACAAAGCTGGGTTCCGAGAAATCCTAGTAAGGTGACCAATTCATCCTGGGTTGCCTGGAATTTTCCTAGTTTAACCCTGAAGTCCAGCGTCTTGGGACACGCTTCTGTGCTGGCACACCAGGACAGCTGGCCACCATCCCTCACTGCGGGGCCTTTCTGAGTGGCTGCTTCACTCTCTCTCTGCTGACTAGCTTCTCCATTTTCTCTGCCTACGTGTTTAGAAGCACAGTCCGTGGAGGTTCCAATCTCTAATTTTGTTACTCCCATGACCTAAACAAAGTTTACAATAATCCATTTTTAAAAGTCTTGTCTTTAGTTTTCACACACCCCTATGTTCCCTGAAGCATTATTTACAGTAGCCAAGATTTGGAAGCAGCCCGAGTGCTCCTCAGTAGATGAGTGGATAGAAAAGCTGGGGTACATCTACACAATGAAATCCTCCGCAGCCCAGCTCTCATAGGAGAGAAGGAAATCTCACCTTTTGCAACAGCTTGGCTGGACCTGGGGAGCATTATGCTACATGAAAGACAAAGTACCATATGTGGTACCAATCTTATATGTGGAATCTAATAAACAAAACAAACAAAACAAAATAGAAACAGCTCATAGACAGAGAAGAGACTAACAGCTGTCAGAGGGAAGAGGGGATGAGGGGCTAAGTGAAAAACGTGGAGGGATTAAGCAAAAAATAAAAAAGTAAAAAGGAAGGAAGAAAGAAAAATCTTTGCAGCGCTTGATGCTCCCTTTCAGGAGGTGGTATCGGTATTGAACTAACGACTGCTATAGGACGCTTTGTCCCCATCAACTAGAAAAAAACTGGTCCAGCAATGAAATGAGGAAGTAGGAGAGGCCCTGCTACCAATACCCGCCTGAACCACGTGGACCTGTGCCTCCTCTCCACACACAGACTCTGCTAAGCAGAGTCTTCACCTTCCACCCTGATGGACCAGTTCAAGGCATCGTGGTTCGGCATGGCCTGTCCAGAGACTCTCGCCTGTATGTACCTGTGAGGCTGCAGCCAGCTTGGTAACAGACCCCTTTATCTCCTCTTTGCCTCTTTCCCTTCCTTCCTTCCTTCCTTTCTCCCCCACACTAACTGCTGTGGGATCAGGCCCTCAGGAAAGTGTGTAAGGAAAGGAAAGAACCAAAATGATCTATCTGGCCCCTGTGTTTTCAGAAGGAGAGCCCGCCTTGGGAGTCGGTCGGCTGGCTGGCTGCAGTGAGCGCCTGAGATCACTGACTTTCAGATGAAACCGTTCCCGTGGCCCGGGCTCCTTTGGCCTCCCGGGAGGAGAATGAAGAGAGATCACCCGCGGAAAGCTCCGGCGAGGGCGCTGTACACTGTGCACAGGGGCGCGGCCCGCAGGGAACGGCAATGGGCCGCTCTCCTCTCCGAACAAAGGCTGGGGGGGGGGGGGGGGGGGGGTCAAGGAGAGTTAGGCGGGAAAAGTGACTTGTATGTATGTGGAGGCGGATGCTTTTTGGCTCTTGCACAGTGGCGCTACCTGTGTCTTCATGGGTCACATGTCTCATTAGCATGTTAAGTTTCCGCCCAGGGAGGTGTTTTTAGCATTTAAATGAGGGAGGGTCACCCAGAGGACAGTCTTTCTTGCTGGCACATGTGTGAGCAAAGGAAATAAAAATTATGTTCCCCGCACTGATTCTTGGGGCCAGCAGGGTCCTCCAGCCGCTGATTGGCTGTGAGGAGACATTAAGGCACTGGGGGCAATGAATGGGTTCCTGGCTTCCAGCCAGCAAGGCCCAGAGAGTCACCTCCTTGTTTCAGAACCACTTACACACTCTCGGATGCTTGCAAATTTATGGAATGCAAGGAGCACCCTCGCTTTTAAAGAAGCTTGATGAGGCCAAAACTGATTTGGCTCAGTGGTAGAGCATCCGTCTGTAGACTGAAAGGTCCCAGGTTCGATTCCGGTCAAGGGCATGTACCTGGGTTGCTGGCACATCCCCAGTAGGGGGTGTGCAAGAGGCAGCTGATCGATGTTTCTCTCATCGACGTTTCTAGCTCTCTATCTCTCTCCCTTCCTCTCTGTAAAAAATCAATAAAATATATTTTTAAAAATAAATAAATAAAAATAAAGAAGTTTGATGAAAACCTGCTCCCCTGCCTGACTGTGGTAAGTTCTAAGCAAATAGCAACCACTACTCTCTTGCTTGCCCTGTTCCCCCTTGTGCTAAGATCCAGTCAACCAACGTGCATGAACAAATAAAAACATGAGAAAGTCGATTGTTGAGATGTGTGGTATACATCCTCTGGGTGTATAAAACTCAGAGAAAAAAGGAAGCCCTGAAGTGTACTGGGTTCGGTGAAGACTTAGAATGGTTGAGAATAAACATTGAATGGAAAAGGTACGCTGACTCCTCTATTGTCTTCTTTCCGCTCCTGACTGCATGAAAGTTTAGCACTATAAGACAAAGCACAAAGCACAGCTTATAAGGGAAGGACCTTCCTCTACTGGTAGATCCCATACTACAGGATAAAGCAAAAATAGGTTTACAGTTGTTCAAATAGAAAATACAGTCCTATATAATAAAAGGCTAATATGCAAATCGACCAAACTACAGAACAACCGGTAGCTATGACATGCACTAACCACCAAGGGGCAGACCCTCAAAGCAGGGAGCAGGCCTAAGCCAGCAGTTGGACATCCCCCAAGGGCTCCCAGACTGCAAGGACTCAGACCAGACTGAAGCAACCATCTAACCATTCGACCGGTAGCTATGACACGCACTGATCACCAGGGAGCAGATGCTCAATGCACAGGCATGGAAACATGAAGCAGACTAATGAATCTCAGAGGTAAGGGGAGAGGAGGGGAGAGCAGGAAGAGATTAACCAAATATTTTATATGCATACTAGAGGCCTGTTGCACAGATCTGTGCACTGGTGGGGTCCCTCGGCCTGGCCTGCAGGGATCAGGCGGAAACTGGCAGTCCAATATCCCCTGAGGGGTCCTGGATTGTGAGAGGGCACAGGCCAGCCTGAGGGACCCCACTGGTGCACAAATCCGTGCACCAGGTCTCTAATAATTAATAAATATCTCTGTGTTTTTCTTTTGCTTCAGGTTCCAATGTGGCTAAGCATGGCATTGCTACTGACCCTACATCATTTACATGTTTGATATTTTCTTTCTCATATTTTTTTAAAAATTTATT